CGGAAACACTCGAGCCGTGTCACGGGCATTATTAATTAATTGAATTCGACGACATTAAAATCCCGGTTCAATTTTCCATTGGGTGCATTGTTAATCGCGGCGAACTCACCAACAGCGTGCGACGACGATTTACGATGTACTATAGCGTGCACACGGGCGTATCGTTTTTTCCCAGTGACAATAACGCGAATCCGGCAGAATTATTAGCGCTGCACCGTAGTTCGTGGAAAATTGTCGAGCTAAAATTTGATTAGGGTTCAATATTCCTCGTGGTATTGATTTATGTTAATGTCCGAATATATTTTTCCCTTCCTCCCGCTCTTCTTTATTCCTTTATATCGGTCAAGCAAAATTACATCTGTACACAGGTATACAGGGTGAATTCAGTAGGGTAAAGTAAGAAAAAAAGTTCGTATAAACGTATACCAGACATGACCTTGTTTCCAAATTATAGCCCTTTTTGTATAATACCTGTTGTTTAATAATTTTCAAAGAAATTGTTCGAAGTGGCCACTCTCGGCTGGAACGCACATCTTCGTAGATCTTCTCAATCGTTCAAAAATACCAGGTGTCGTTTGAATTCGCCGACAACTCTCTTCAATACGGTATCGTAGTTCTTCGACATTGTTTACTAGCGTGTTGTAAACCAAAGACTTTAGGTGCCTCCACAAATAAAAATATAATTAATTAATTGGCCCTCCACGAGCAATCCATTTATTAACCCTTTGACGACGGCAGACTTTGAGACGCACCAGCCGTACCATACGGTAGGAAATCAGTCGCGACGGACACCGAGAACGGTGAAACTTTTCCTTAAGCGTGCATTTCTGAGAAAGTATATTCGAATAATCAAAACACTGAATTCCACTACGTTAAAACAATATTATTGTAGTATCGGGGCCTCCATACGCAAAAAATAGGAAACCAGCACGGGAGAATAGAAAGGGAGTGGTTGGCGTAGCGCGCAAAGCCTCGGCTTGCTAAGCCGAAGGTTCCGGGTTCGATTCCCGTTGGGTCCCTCAATATTTTTCCCTAGGTTACTAAAAATGGGGGCTCAGCCGGGATGGAGGCATCTACGGCTACACCAAGCCAGGCGCTGTGAGATGAAAACATCTCGAGAGTTGCACGTCTCCCAAAAATGCGTTGTTTCGGTTGTGTTGCCACTGTGTGGGGGAGTGTGCCCGAAAGTGTTGAGTTGTGCTGCACTGAGGACATTCGAGGGGTGAATGTCAGTTCAGGATGGCCGAGTGTAGTATCGGGGCCTCCAGACCCAAATAGGAAACCTCGAAGGGAGAATAGAGAGGGAGTGGTTGGCGTAGCGCGCTAAACCTCGTCTTGCTAAGCCGAAGGTCCCGGGTTCGATTCCCGTTGGGTCCCTCAATATTTTTCCCTAGGTTCCTACAAATGGGGACTCGTCCGGGACGGAGGTATCTACGGCTGCATGAAGCCAGGCGTTGTGAGATGAAAACATGTGAGAGGGTTTGCACGTCTCCCAAAAAGAGTTGAGAAACAGAGTTTCGGTTGAGAGTGCCACTGTGTGGGGGAGTGGACTCGAAAGTGTTGAGTTGAGGAGTTGTGGTTGCACTGAGGACATTCGAGGGCGAATGTCAGTTCAGGAATGGCCGAGTGTAGTATCCATACTCAAATAGAAAACCGGCAGCATACCGAATTCATCCTTGAAGTTACGTCCACGTGTTTTAAAACACCCTGTATATCTCTTAATTAACACCGCGAGGTAGAGCCGAGGGGATGAAATTTTTGCGAAACAGGTTTGGGGAGCATTACGTTATTAGGTAAATATGACGGTAGTGCGGTCCAATCAACATGGTTCATTTGCCTCGTAAAGGTGAAACTAGCGGCTGACGTGTAGTTATATACCGCAAATTGGCCCGTGTTCAAGTCAGGACTCAAAACGATATGCTTGAAAACACGCACGCGAGATCGTGTCGTGAAGTGATGAGCTTTCCCCGCGTGCTTTTGCCCTTGATCGTTCCGCGAAATGAAAGCCGGATTTTTATGCAAAATGGGCGAACCTAATGAGGGATTCGAACGTTTACCCTCGAAAATCCATTAAATGATTAAATCAGTAATTTTCGAAATATTCGGGTAACCTGATGTTTTTGTAACTTCGTCGATTCTTTCCTTATTGTTAATCTTTCAACGACATTTGATTTTGCAAAATTGAAGCTTTTTGCTCTTACATCTGTGTTTACTTCGATTTTGAATTTTTCGAAATTTCAATTCTGTTCGCTTGTGTAGGATTGCCGATTCGTCAGATTTATTTGAATTTAATTTAAATTTAACTCAAAGTGCACCGGGCGAACTCTTTGATTTAAAAAAGTAATTAACCAGAGAAGTTTAGAGATTTTATTTTCTAAATAAGATCAGTTTGGTATTTTTTTTTTTGCGTAGCGTTGCGTGAATATTCGGGAATTAATACGTACGCTTTACGAAATTTTAGTGGGTGACAAGCTTATACAGGGTGTCCCGTAATTAATCAAACCCGAATTTAATTAAAATCGAAAATAATCGAAAAAGTTTGAAGTCAGTTATTTACTGTGGGTAAAGTAGAGATTCCACTAAAACACCGATACCACAAAACAAAAAACACATAATAATCAACAGTGTTATCCCAATACCAATTTCGATCAAAAACTTTAATTTCTTCGCCACGAATGAAACGTCTTCGACAGATCACGCATTAAACGCTATTAAAACGGTTAATACCCGAGGACAAATAGAAAAAAAGAGATCAGCCGAACAATGAAACCAAATTCCACCGGCGACGAAGGAAAGAAAGAAGAAAAAAAAGAAAGACGAGGGATGGATGATCAACGATGAATTCGTCAAATGGAAATTACGTTAGAATAAATTGCCTTCGGCTAATTGGCTCTGCTAGCAAGCCGATACTTTCAACGTAGATAGTGCAACGGTTATTGATTAGCGAAAAAAAAAAAAGGAAGAATCTCGAGGAAGCGTTTTCTTTGAGCGCATCTTCGCGCGAACTGGCGGAAAAAAAGATCGCCCGGTGAATTAATCTCCTTGCGGAAAATACAATTATCTAGAAAATAACAGATAGAAATCAACAGAGAGAGAGAGAGAGCTATTTCATCGATTCGTCGAAATTTTCACGTTCTGTAACGTTCGCGTTAATTGGACAGCCCGAAGCCAACCTGTTCTATAATCGCGCCTTTCGTTTATTACGAATCGACAAGTTGCCGCCGCGTAAATTAGATCGACTTCCGAAGATACAACTTCGACGGAAGCTTTCGTTAATTTCTAATTAAATCCGGCACCGCCTTTATATCATCGATGGAATAATCGTTTCAACGCCCCGGCCGTCGTTCACGACGGCGATATTCAACGTTTAACCAGAAGCCAGAGAGAGAGAGGTAAACCGAACTACTACCCCGAACAGTTTCCTCCGAGTTTTCTATTGTTCCGCGACGCATCTTTTGTTTATACCCGCCGCGACAACTCGTTTGCGGAAATGGCGACGTCGCCGAGTTAAAACCCCGACGCGGATTTACGATAACGTTTCGACTTTCCGCGAGATTCTTTCATCCCCCGCCCTCCTTGTAAATTCACCCCCGACGATCGTTTCTGTGACTTATCGCGACGAGTATATACAGGATCTGAGAACTTACCAAGTGGCTGCTCGAATATACCGTTACTATTTCCTACGTATACGATTCAAATCTGTTACATACTCTCCACCGTATAGAGAATCGCGGTTTAATAAATCTCGGTACACTATGAATATCATGAATACAATTATGAGAGATGTAGGTCAAGTCGCATGCAAAGATGGAATTCTCTGTCACTTTCCTATTAGGCGAGCACGGGGAATGGGCGAAGTTTAGAAAGATACCTCACAATGGAGATACTGTAAAAGTTTCTGCTCTTCGGTTAATTATAAGAGCGAGGAAGGAAGAGGAAATCATTTCCAGGGAACGAATGTGCAACTTTCACGAGTTCAACGTGCAGTATTGTACGGAAATTTCGTTTATAATATTGAAATTGTATCGTACACGATTCACGTTTCGAAGAAATAAAGGAAAGAGTAAATCTGCGATGGTTGTTAAGTAAAGAAATTTTTTCTTATTCGGGTGAATAAATTAAAATGAATGTAAACTTTTTGTCTGACTGCAAATACAACGGGGTCAATGTAGAAATAAGCGATGTCCAGAATATCGAACGTGTGTGTACTGTGAGAGTAAAGATATGTGTTAGTTATTGGAAAAGATAAAATGAGCAAATGAACAAATATACCGGGTGTCCGAATTTTTTTCTGCCAAACTTCGGCAGCGTGTTCTATGGGCACGGGTGAGGAAAAAATGTTATATAAACATAGGTCGTTTGAGGATTTATTAAGAAGTTATAACAATAATAGGAAATATGAAGGAAATGATACAAAATGAGAACAGATCAGCGATATGTACCTATAGTCCGTTATTTACGATTTAACGTCGTTCAAGCTGTTGAAAGTAACTTCTGCCAGCGCCATTTTTGTCTCGTATCATAGCAACCGCAAGTTCGTCACCAGTCCATTCGTATTTTTGCTATAACTTTTCAACGAAGCTTCAAACGACCTATGCTCGTATAACATTTTTTCCTCACTTACACCCGTAGAACATACTGACAAAGTTTGATCCAAAAAAATTTGGGACACCCGGTACGTAGGTAATCATAGAAAAATCCTTTTCAACGTACATTTTTCCCGCGAAAATTTGATCGTTTCTCTCGCTGTGCGACATCTCCAATTAATTACGAATAATTCAGTCTGAGAAATATGACTCGCTTCCCTTTCTTCTCTTATTAGATCATGCTAGTACGAAAAGTGCGAGCACGTTTCTCGCAGCCTAACGGTTAACTGAAATATTTATAATATTCCAGCGTTTTCTATCCACGCTTGCTAGAGAGACAATCCTTTGTAAATGCGATAAAAGGTTGTAAAAGACTCTTTGAAAGCACGATACAACATTCTGAGTTCGTCTTACCCTTTCTCGACACAGTCGAAGAAATCCTTTCATCCCTGTTGCCTCGGTTCGACTCTCTGTATTTACTTTGCTGGATGCGGGCATCTGAAACAAAAAGGGAAAGAAAACGTTAGCTTCTGTTCCACACGGAGCCGTATTGCGGAACAACAAGACGGTAAATAACGCAATTCCCATCGTTTACCAGTTTGTAAGGGGTTGTACAATAAAGACGGCGATATTCAAATTTTATGATATTCTTATCCCTCCCAGTTTCGCCGGAAATGTTCGAGCAAATCTCTTTATCCTCGTCGTTCACTTGTTCCCTTCCTACTTGCTTGCTGCTGCTCTTATATTCATTCCCTAAAATGTCTCCGTTAAAGAGTAAAAGCGACACTAAACCCTTATTCCATTCAAATCGCCGAAGGGGAGTGTACGTGTATCCGCGATATTTGTTATTGAACGGTTGTCAGAGCTGCCTTTTATCTTTATTCGATCCGTTCCTACCTGCGACAAGAAATAACGCGCGCTTTCAACTCTTCTCTGCTCTTACTTTGTTTTTCCCTTTGCATACTTTACGGCATCTGAACGATCAAAGTTGAAATTTCTTTGCTCGTTCCTTTTCCACTGGCGGATCGAAATAATTTGTTGTTCTCCTTGTGAAACAGCCAACCTAATTGTTTTGTCGTTTACGAGAGTTGCTTTAAGATGTCTTTAGAATTACCTTTAAGGGCGGAAACTTTGCGAAACGTGAAATGCAGCTTTAACTGGTAGACACATACGGAGCAGTTTAATGCGAAAGTGGCGTAAGTGAAAAATGTCGAATTCTGGATAATGAGGGATGAAGTAAAAATTTTGTAAAATTTGATAATACGAAAGAATGTTACATCTATTTTATGTAAGCCACTGTATAGTTACACCTTGAGCTGATAATGCCATTTTCCCTGAAAATCAAGATATGTGTGTAATCACTTTATTTAATACACCATTGCGCTATTTCATCCATTATTTTGCCATCCACCGAAAAACTAACGAAGATATACGTACACCACTTCTGCACAAAACAGAATGAAGGTTGAGCTTTCGATATGTGGTGTTAAATCAAATAGACAAAAATTTCACTTACACTACTTTTGCATTAAACGATGCATATCGTAAAATACAGTTAGAAAATCGACTTTTTTCATACGCCCCCACCACCGCCGTTTCCCCCCACTCCGCTCACGACTGTGACGTCACTAGCCCGAGAGTTGCCCGCGGGGCAACTCGGGGCAACCAAGAAACAGCTGCCTGAGCGACTCTGGCTCGAACCTAACTGCTATCACAACATCCCCATCCCACCGAACTCTGACTCGGCAACAACGACGATATTCAAATTTCATCCAAGCCCCCACCGCGTCCCCGCAAAAGCTCGAAAACAAATCCTTTTATCTTGCGCGTTCCCGCGACGCGACGCTGCGTCTAACCACCCTCGAGGATGTATTCGGGCGCAAAGGAAGCGTTAGAACTTCATGCCGACAGAACACTTCATCAACCGCCGGGAGGAAACGCATGTATGTTGCGCAACAACACGGTAGATACGAGCATCCCACCGAACGGCGTGTTTAGCTGTGCGTTCAGTTCGCGAGCAACAGCGGAGAGAAGGGCGTGAAACGGAGTTTCACTGTGCAACGCGGAGGTTACCTATCGGTTCTCCGCATCGCGACGGTGAACGGTGCGTACACTGCTCGTCGTTATTTCGTCTCGAACGATGGTTCAACAGGTATGTTTCTCGCAGCGATTCGAGGGAGAGGAGGGATCGAAAGGAGGGAGCGAGGTGAGTTGGAGGAATTAGGTTGAAAAATAGAAAGGTAAGGAAAGAGGGAAGAGATGGTACGGTGCCGAGATTTTCGCACAACCTCGCTCGTTCTCCTCCGCTCACCATCTTTTCCTTCGAACGAAACAAGAGGAAGGGGTTGAACAGTGGGAGCAGCCTCCGGTGAAGCTGGCCTCGGGCCAAGGCATTATTTTCGAGAGAGGGATGGAGAGAGAGAAAGGGAGGGCGAAGAATAGGAAGCATGGGCGTGTGACAAACCGGGAGGCACAGAGGGAGAGAATAGAGTCGGAGGAAGGTGGATGAGGCTAGGGCTGGGAGCCCAAATGAATATTTAATTTCTGCATATCTCACCCCGGCGAAAGTTCGGAACGGGGGACGAAAGGAAGCTCCTTCTCGCTTGTACTCGCAGCGCAAGGGAAGCGCGTGATGTAGGATAGAGTCCGGCGATGGAAGTTACGTGCCCTTAAGTTTCTATTTAGGAGCCAATAGACCGTCTATTTTTCTTTATCGCCAATTTTCTTTCCTTTGCTTCTTCTATTCTCTCTCCTTGTTTGCATTTTTCAATCACTTTTTACCTAACACTCTGTGCTCGTCTTTCCCACCGCTAGCTTTCCCCTTTCTTTTTATCTTCAATCGCCTTTCCCGCCCTTATATCTTTCTCACCGCCCACAGCTTTCCATTAACATCTCTTTCTTCGACGACTCTCTCCGGTTCGTTTCTGTTACACTTTTATAGACGCAGTTTCGAGTTTCTTTACTTCTTCATTCCCGCCGCTGCTCACGTACGTTCTCGTTTTTTCACCACCCACTTTTTCCCCTCTTTTTGCACATAATTTCTCTTGTCCCATATTTCTCTCTCCACCCTCCCTCGCAGTTGGCTACTTCTCCGTTCCTTTCTTCTCCCTCTCACACGGTTTCTCCTCCTTCTTTCTCCACTTCGCTGTCTCCCTTCTGTTTCACCCTCCACTTCTCCGTTTCCCCATTTCCTCCCTTTGCCAGTGTCCCGTTTCGCCATTTCTCTATTTCAAACTCTCCTTGTTCTTTTCTCTCTCCACCAACACAAACTTCTTTTTACACCCCTTTCTTTACTCGTTCCCATTTGTCCACATAGTTCTCCTCCCTTTTTCTTCCTTTCCTTCACTAATTACAGTTCGTTGTTGCCCTATTTTTCTCCCTCTGACCGCAGGTATCCTATCTCTACCTCCAATTTACCTCTCCTTACCTAACCTTTCTGCTTCTCCTTCTTTCACCATCCTCGCATCTCCGACCAATCCTCCACTTTCCATAATTTCTTTCCATTCGCCGCCCTCTCCTCGTCCTCTGATTTACACAATTTCTTCTGTACGCTCTTTCTTCCCTCTCTCCGTTTACCCTCCACGGAGCGAGCAATTTCTTCGACCACCGGCGCTACCCTCGGTCCATTTGACCCTTACCCTTTCGCCGCTCCCTTTTCGACTTCCTCGGCAAGGCGGTCGCGCGCGCGGACCAAGGGCCAATCACGAGGTTCCTCCTCACGATGGAACGTGGCGATGCCGAGGGCGGAGAAAAAGGAGCGAGAGGAGAAAAGGTCAGACGATGAGGTGGTGAGTACGGTCCGCGAAGATGAAGCCTCTGGTTGAGGCGGGAAGCGAGGGAAAGTAGCGGTCGACTGAAGTACCCGAAGCTCGGACAGAGGTTATACGGGTGGACGTTGTTGCTATACTGAAATCCGGGAGTCTCAGATCGGCGCTGTCTGAGCTAAGCCGAAGCTTAGCGAGCTTTGCCTACTCTATCTTCGTTATCGTGATATACGTGTATTGGATGCGTTATGTACGAGAAATTCGCGTCATATGACGAGTGTGATTGCCCGCCGTGAGAACGTGCCGGTTTAATTAACGATCGGCTGGATTGTGAACGAAACGGAATTGTTTTGGTAAGACTTTGGAAGCGAAATGTAATAATGTTATTTTTTGTCTAGGTTTTCAATGTTCTCGATGTTGTTTAATAAACAGTAACATTAATTGTTGTGCACTGCGTTGATATTTTTTTTTTAACGTGCAGGTGAATGAGACTGTAAAATGAATTTCGTTGGTACCATCTTCGGTTGCAATACTAAAATTCTCCGTGCGAAATATAAAAATTTGCGCTAGAAGATTGAAAGCAGAGAGTTTGTAAATGATGAAAGACAACGAAAGGTAACGCTGTACAAATGAAAATACAAAAAAGCAAATTAAAGTATCAGGTGTGTTTATACTAAAAACGCATGAAACGAAGATTTTCTGTAACAATAATGCAATCTCTGGAGCTTTAGTTTTCATTTTTCACAATATGCGAATGTTTCACAAATCTCAGGCGAATATCATGCAAACTTCGCAATTTATAATCATTTCTAAAAAAATTAATATTTGTAACAATTTCAAGAAAAGGTTTAGCAGCTGAAGAAAATTACAGTGATTAAGCATTCATACTAATCACACAAGGGATGTAATATTTTTCAATAATATACATTCACTTTGATTTTTACATTAATTTTCAATACCAATTTCTCACCACAGCAAAAAATCCTTTAAACGACAGAAAACTTGGTACATTTCAATAATGGCCAAAACGGACCTAACACTGTTCAATCAACACAAAAATAAATAACAAAAACTAAAAGCTTCCCCGCCAAACTTTCAATTCCCCTCCCAAAAAAATTGTTAATCACACCCGCATAAAACTACATCACTTCTTTTAATATTTCACCCTTTACAGCATTGCAAAAGCCATTGAAAAAAAGAAAAAAGTGGCACGTAAGTTATGCACCCAGATATTTCATTAGAGCGTTCCGCAGAAAGAAACGCGTCGATGTGGCATGCGTATGTGGTCGGTATGAAACGCGGAGGAAAGATTAAAGTGTCGAACGACCGCGTAAACGTTAAACAAGCAGATTGAAGCACGAAAAACTCTTCGTTCGACCACCTTCGCGCTCGTACAGAGATTGAATAAAGCGGGAAGAAGAGACGAGAGAGAGAGAGAGAGAGAGAGAAAGCAGCGGCGAGATCAGGATTGCGAGACGAAGTTAAAGCAAACGATATAAACCGTGGAGTAGAATTAAAAAAAAAGAACTCCGACGGGGGAGAGAAAGAACGACAAGATAAGGGCGAATGAATGGACATACCGGGAATTTTTTTTATGTCGCGTGCATGGAATAACAAGAGACGGGCACGAAATGAAGAGAAATGATAACGATGCTTGATCAAGGGACAGTGGAGGAGGGTTGCGCCATGAAAAATAAATGATAAAGGTAGCCGGCTTGGTGAAACAGAGACGAC